AATGCAGCTGCAAGAGTAAAGATCTTATAGTTAAGAGGCTTGTGTGTAAATGTAGATGTTGAAGGATGGATGCGAAGAATCTCTGCTTCGTATGTTGTGCTCTGCATCCGTTCCAACGTCAACTAAAAACTTGGTCTTTTTGCCGGTAATCTCGAGTTAATTGTGATCCGTCTGTCGGAAACCTTATTTATGTAAATGTAGATGGAATCGTCTTTTCTTCCCTTTAATCGCCTCGGATTAAATGCCCTGAGGGGGACACGAAGTTAGAAGAATGGTTTGGGATGTACGGGATTAGGAGATACCAAGATATCCGATAGTAAACAGCGATTATTTTCGTCGCAAAGTACAATTTATACGTATAATGTGCAAGGAATCTGAAAATGCGATGTCTTTTGTACTTACATCGCTGAATACTTGCGCTCTTTGCACTTTGAAGGTCGTTTTTGAAACGACTACCCTGTAATCGGCCTGCATGTAATTACAAACAAGTTAAATATAACGATGGCAACATAACAATCCTGAGTATTTCGACCCTGAAATCACCTCTAATCCCCTCGTACACACGTTAATCTGAGTATTTGCATGACGGAAACCCCCCGATGGCCCAATTGGACTAAAGGTCGGTGTTTTGGACCGTTTTATCCCTTTAATCAGTTGTCATTCATTCGGAGATATCAAAGATTAGGCGATTAAACGGAAATGATTGGCATACGAGAGGACATACCAAAAGAGGGAATGGACATGGGAATAACAAAAGATAAGATTTGAAGGTAAACAATCAACAATTGGAGATGCCCTGGGGGGAATAAGGGTACGAACTTGGCCTAAACATTACAGGTCGAGCCTGGGAGATAGAAGTAGGACTGTTTTGTAATCCAAGTCGTATAGAATTTACTCCAAACATATAGACTTTTGGATCAATTCATATATTTTTTGGCTATTTTTGAATGCATCTTACTGTTAGTAGCGTGTTTTAAAATTGATCTCCATGCTTAATGTACATTATTTGGATTGAGTTGTACATAGAATCTTAATTACGCAATTCATGCCCTCTAAGAAAGGTATGAATTAAGGCAACATTCGAATGGCAAGTATAATATTTCCTTTGTCCCAACTTAGACTTTTTGAGCTCTCGTGTGTAATACACACACGGCCCGAGAATACAAATCCCCGGGGGCTTGGGGAATTGTGAATTGTAAAAAATGTGAAACTTTTAGAGTTGAAAGTAAACCCCTTGACTTTGTACTCTCATGAATTTTAAAGTCTCCCTAATCTGTTCATTGTACTCTTGTCATTATAATCCCTTTCCATGCACAGCAGATCTCCGTGTGTCATAAAATACGTGCAGACATCCGAAAACAATAATCTCGAGCCCCCCACTCGAGATCAGAATAGCCACTCCAACAGCGGGGTACACAGCGCACGGTATTTATTTACAATTCCAATTTTTCGAGATTGGGAAAACTGACAGCCCTTGTACATCTGGATTGTGTGCCCGGGTATTGTATGTCACTACTATTTATTACAATCGCAAACTATGGGTCGCGTTTGTTGACTCGGTTGATCTTTTGTTCTTGTAATTCGAGGCCATAACTTCTTTTCTTTACCCAAAGCCCAAAGTTTTTTCTTATGGCGGCTTAAGTGGATAAACGGTACTTATTGGATCAAAGAAAAGGGACAGAAAAGTGGAAGAGATCGTGGGCGCCAGAAGAGGGAGGGCAGGAGGAAAAGGGAGGACAAACAATAGGGAAATTTGGGGCTTTCCCCCGCTGCTACCACTTTTGGATCCCATTTTTTATGTTCTTGTTTATGTTCATAAGAGAGAGGGGGATTGACGTTCGGGGGGATTAGGCCGACCTTTGGTCGTTCCGAGGCTCAAGTTTCCAAAAAAATACATTTTTCTCACACAATCTCCGTCAAAAAAGTAATGTCAAAAAATAGCCGACCATGGAGAGACTGAAGGGGCATGGGCAAGCGGGGAATACGGTCAGAGGGCGTTTTGTTATGAAAGAAATGCAAAAAGTTGATCGAATGACATGTGCTCGGACTCCTGAATGTCCATGTTGCTTGCAAGGCTTGTTTGTAACCTTCGTATTATTACTTTGAGAGCACAAAAATATTCAAATTTGAAACCATTATCATTAAATTTCCACATAAAGAAGACTTAACTATGCAAACACTTGATCCTTAACACCCTCATAAACACCAACAACGTCCATTCCTCGCCTTATCATCCATGATAATCACCCCCATTATCACCTGTTCTCTTTGCAAATTTACAAAATTTGTGAATCAAAAACCATTGAAATGGGAATAAAATAAATTTAATTATCACATATGCAAACATGTACAAATATAGACGAGAATTCCACGTAATTGCCCTGTCGAAAAGAGAGTTTTTTGTTAGAAAAAACACCATAAAAAGGTAATTACGGGGCTGAATACCCCCGAATATTCGCGGAAATAGTTGTAATTATTCTATTTACACACACAAACGCCCGTCATTCGAGTAAAAAGTTATATAAACTTGCCATTTAAATCAAGCAAAATTTGAATGTGGAGAATTCAAAAGTGCAAAAGATCACAAATCATGCAGAGAGCACAGAGAACCGTTCAAGAATGCTCCATTTAAGGATATTTTATATAAAAGAACTGCATAACAATCAAGAAATTTTATTTTTTCGAAATTGGAATCTGAAAAGAGTGTTTTGTGAGGTAGTTGAATTGAATAAATGGAAAAAAATATTCTTTTCATGGCCAAGCATCCCATTCGGATCGTCATCGCTTTCCTTCATGTGTAATTAACTGTGCAATCCGAATGAATAATATATGGTCTTACTTCGTATAGCCGTATATTATGGATACGTGACTATTGCCAGTGTACCCTCGAATACAGTAGGCGAATAGTAATCGTTCCTTGGCCACTTTTCCGTTTTCGTATTCCGCAAATCCCCTTTCCCAATATCCAGCCCATCTTTTAATATTTAATCAAATCGGCTAATCCACAAACAGCTGATCGATTTATTCGCGGTTAATCCCTTCTTCTTTCCCCCCTTCCCAGAGTCATAAATCCATCGACCGCTATGTGAGACTCGACTGTTTATTCAGCGTTCATTTCTCGTTCGAAAAAAACTAAAATAACAACAAAGTTGCAATTGGAGAAAAGAAGGATTACAATTCAAGATCAGGCATTCACAGTACGCAGCGTACAAGTGTAATGGGTCGGAGAGAAAAAAAACAATTGATTTCATAGATTAAATTGAGGATTTTGGTTTATTCAACGCTCGTGCTGACTCAAGTACAATATCCAACTATGCTGACAACAATCGAGGGAATTAGCGTCGGATAGGGAGAAAAGACCCAGCCAAATGCACAGATCAGACCAACTGTTAAGAGATGATGGAGGAAAAGAAAACGAAATCACCTTGTTGAATACCGTATACACGTTTTTCTGTTCGCGGATTTTCTTTAAGAAAACAGCCAAGAGAAATAATATTAATTAATATTAGAGAACAACAGATACCCTAGCTACTACGTTAAAACTACTGTGTGTTGTAAGATTTCTTTCTTTTTTATTGTGGGAAACCCGGGGCGATTCGGATAAAGGGGGGTCGGGCGAGAGAGTGTGGTCTCGGAGGAGGGCGGAAAAGAAATTCAAAACATTATTTTTAGATTTTTCGATTTTGAGGCAGGAAACTATCACTAAATAAACGGGTATGTTCCGGCTGTCCCACAGCAATCAGAACCGTGATAATCAGTGGAAAATGGGGCCGAGGTAGGTGGGAACGGAATCGGGGAGAGACCAGGGTGCCCGTGAGGACCCAGAGGTCACCGAAACAGCAATGACCTCCGACATCCCCACGACACCCAAGGATCGTGGATTCGCGCGAAGACGCTAAGCGATCAAGATTCGGAAGAACAACGGAAACCGTGGCCATCGCCGGGTGGGATTGAGTGATAGAGATGGTTAAGATACGATAAAGCCCGCTTAATCCATAAAAACACTTATTAAGACCAGTAAACGACCAGCAATGGGGTTTTGATGCTTTTGTTTGCGCATAAACCAGGCATTTTAGCTAAATCCGAAGTGATTGCCGGAGGGCATTTAGGTAGAGTTTCACACCAGAACGCCCTCGTGCTTTCGGAATAAGAGAATCGGTGGGAAAACTATTGAAAAAACCGAGGAATATCAACCGATGAAAAGCCGTAGAAAATGTTGATAACCTGAGGGCGGAACGGAGCTCCAAGTGCGGAATCCCGGAGAGTTTTTTTTGGCACTTACACTCGTTTAGGTCTCGGGAAATGAAAAATTAAAAAAAAAGATCAGCGTCCGGGTCGGATACAAGTAATCGGAGAATCGAGAGATGATTGGTGTAACTGGAGGATTGTAAAGCTTACCTATGAGACGCGAATTACAACAAAAACCAACGCTTTTCCAAACTATTCTGAAGGCGGCTGACTACGGTGCGAACAAAGAGTCGGATTTTGGAAATTCGGCGAATTACCCGGATCGGATTAAAAGTAAAACAATATAAAAAAGGATGGAGTAGTACTCTTAAAAAGCTGTAACAAACAAGACCAACAAGTGCGAGATCGCCGATTTGAGCGAGGAACCAAGAGATCTGTCCGAGGGCTGCCCGCTATTACCTAGACGTACCAAAAGTTGGAGCAACCAAGAATAATATCGAGTAATCACCCATTCGGACAGTTTTTGGCCGACAATCGAAGCTCACGATCTGCTGATAAAAACGGATGGATAATATTTTTTTGGGTTTTTGAGAACAATTCTACTTGAGAGAGGTTACCAGAAGAGAGGAAGGCGCACAGAGATTTAAAGAAAAAAAGCCGGAGGGGAACAGAGACCAAGGAAGCTCTTCGAAGAGGTGGCCCGAGCTGGACCGGCAGATCATTCAGCTGAGAGATGAGGGGCCTGGACCGGAGAACAAATGACCAGAATAATTTAGGCGATTAAGTTACAGTAGGCGGCGGAATGCAGACGCTTAAAGCGAGGGCACGCATTGCTCGTCGATTATGCCGTTCAGGACGACGCCGTCCACATCCACACCGGAGTCCGCGTCCGCGTCCTTGGCCCGCTTCTCGGAACGACCGCTGCCCGAACGGTGCGGCTTCCGCTTCCGTAGACGACGCTTCTCGTCGGATCGACCGTCCAGCAGTCCTCCTTCATCGTCGAATTCGGAGTCGGTGAACTCGTCCTCCTCATTTCCCTCGTCCTCGCTGTCATAAGGAAGATCGTTGATCTCCTTGGGGACCACCGCATCCTCGTCTGTCCCATGGAACTCGACTTTCGATGGCTCCGAACTGCTGTAGAATTCGGCCTTCAGATCGCATTGAAAGATGGCCGGAGGCTGATCGTCTTCCTCTTCGACCTCCTCATCTCGAGAACGGATCCGAGATAAGAGTTTTCCAGTGAGTTGGTCGGAAAGTTCTTGCCGATTTCCGAAATCATCAAAGTCTGGGTCGAGATCCGTGTTCAGCAGAGCCGCGCAGTTCTTCTGCTCCTCTTCGGCATCAGCGTCGAACACCACGGTCATGGTGGGTTCGCGAGATCGAGGCGCTTCGTAGCGATCTTCGGGGCCAGAGCAGTCCATGTTGCTCTCATCCAAATTCAACGATCGCCGGTCTTTCCAACGCCACAGAGAGGATTCTGGAGACAAGGAGCCGGTGTCGACTTCGTCATCCAGCAAGAGATCGGATGCCAGGGGACTTTTGGCGCCGGAGCCAGTTTGTTGGATAAGCTCGGCACATTCGTAGGGGACTCTGAAAAGGTGAAGGTTATTGGTGTCTGATGTCTTAATTTATGATTAATTTTGCATTTTCAATTCGTGTTTGATGAATAATCAATGCTTTTCTTTCGCCGATGTCTCTGTCGGTCTCGTTTTGCGAGCCCCATCCCAAGGTATCATGCCCATGTTTTTGTCTGATAAATTCTGTTTTTTATGTATTTTTTGCTGTTCCAGCCTTTTCCTCCTGCACTTTTGCGCACAGACATTAAGGCATCCCACAGGTAAGACGGAGAAGGGAAGGGACTTTAAAGGCTGAAACGATCTTCTGAAACTTGTTTTTCCACCAAGGGTAATTGGCTGTTAATGCTGCGGTGTCTCGAAAAGGTCCTTTTTTAAGAGGGAAGATGTCTCCCGCTGCGCCTCGCCCCCATTCCAGTCCCCCTCCCTTATTCCGAGACCTCGAGAATCTCTGAAGACATAGCGTTTTTTGCACAAATTAAAAAAGGAATTGCCACAAAAAATAAACAAATCCGTCAGCCGACGGGGCAACTGCGTAAACACAAAAGTCGTTAATCTTCGCTGCAGCCACCTGCCCCGCGCTTACAAACTGCTCTATGCAAAAATCGGAATCTAATCAAACGCCCGGCTCCCTCATCTCTTTTTGGGGCCTGGAAAGAGAAACAAAGCAGTAACAAAGTCCACGAAATTCCCAGCACTTTCTTCCGGCCACCCCTCTGCTCGTCTGCGCACTCTTTTTTCTCCGCACACTCTCTCTTTGGTTGTCCAGAAAACCCCGAAAAAGTTAAAAGAATGGCGCAGAATTAAGTGCGCAGGTGGTTCGGGATAATCAGCAACCGAACACTTGAGCAGCACCCCATATGCTCGAGAGTTGATTTTTGGCACGCTCTTGACCCTTTGTGAGATTAACAAAGGGACTTGAACAACACGGTTTATGGGTCTCCTAACGGACAGATGTTATTACATATTGCTGGAACAAAGGTCAGGACGAAACCCTATCCCCGAACTCCTAATCTCGTGATGTTCCCGTCTTCTAGAGCTCACCTGCCGTGTCCCCTTCCCCTTTGGGTGCACCCGACCCCGGTTTATTTCGTGTCTGGAAACGATCTCTGGGTGTTTCGGAAGGCCCAGGCCCCTCCAATTTTCGTTTTTATTTCTTTTGTCCGCGCTCTGATTGCATCAGCCTCATTAGGAGATTTTGTGTCCGTCAATCAATCAGTCCGCCGAAATCCAATAAAACCCTGCATTGCGGAGATGTCCTCGGATTATGTGACACCAGCGGCGATTCTACCAATACTACTAACACTGCTGCTGCAAGCAGCCTTGCAATGACAAGACCAATACTTTTCGGAAAAGAGTTTATGATTAGCCGATCCATCTTGCAACGAAAAAACAGATGGTGCTGACATAAGGCCGGCAAGGGGCTAAAGGTACTGATGTCCAGCCATCCGCGAATGTAAAACGAGATCGCTTTTGTCTCTGCGACCTTGTTCATTAAGGGCGAAAAAACAGAACATAATTAGAGTCCGAGATTGGGAGAGTTCGTTGACCCGTTCGCCGAAAGTGCAAGAGATTATGGGCTCGGAGAATGGGGGATTGAGCAAACAAGTTGGGCACTAATTATCTTCCCTAATTGTCCGGTGGCCGAGAATTGTTTTTTCTGCGGATCAAACTGACTTTCAAGTGCTATTCATATCACTGTGTGTCTAGTGTTTTTGAAATGTTTTCGAAGATGCACTTTTAACTTGTGTCGTCATAATGGGGGTCCAATTCATTACGAAGTGGAGAGGGGAGATCAGCCAGGTCGAATCTGAAGTTTTCTCACAAAAAACTTCGAAGGAAACGGTTTCGTTTTTCAGGCCCCAAATCATTTTCCGTGTACAAATGCTATTTGAGACGCGCTTTCCCCAAGACTTTCCCGACTATTGATTTGCACTCTTGGATGTAAAAATGATGGATGTGCCCTAATCTCCGCCAGCAAGTCGGTGTTTCCAACGTTTTTTGGAATCTGTTTGGACTGGACTGTCGCATTTTTGGATTGGCTTAAGACGGCGGCAAGAAGGGAGGGCAAAGAATCATGAATTAATACATCTTCGCGGCATGAAAAAAAACTTTTAATCCGCCGCAGAGTCTTTGGTCTTAGGAGGCTCTTGAACGGGCCTGGTCCCTCGCCCCCCTCTCTATAATATTTTCCGTCTTAAAGCCGCACTCTTTGCGGAGCCTTCTGCGGCTCGTTTCAAGGGACCGGAATTCTTGTCGGAACAACTCGAGAAATGACAAAAAATGAAGGGAAAGCGAAAGTTTCTCGATGGATGGATTAGGCCCTTAATTTGAAAGTATTGGCGGATCCCCTTTCCCCCAAATCCAACAATTTTTTGGCTTCGCAGATTAAAGGTTCGCAATCTTCGGGCCAGATCTGAGTGCTCTCCCGGGACCGTCTTATCGTGATCATTGCCGGCTACAGAGATTCCCCCTGAGTATCGAAAAAAGCCAATTTCCCATTTGTGGGGGCAACAGGCGATAAAGCTGCTGAAGAGGAGCGTAAACAAAAATCTTGAAAAATTATCGACAAAAACATAATCGCCTTCTTTTGCGGCCTGCAGGCAGCCAAAACAGCGTCTTATTAACATCTTGTGATTGTTTTGGGCGCCCCGCGCCTTCCACTACCACCTGCAATTATCAACGACGGGGTGCTTATCAGTCATGTATTGTGTGGAGAATAAAATACGAGAGGGGAAAAGGCGGCCGCAAAACGCGGAACTAATTTGGACCCTGCGGGCTCTAAGGGTTTGGATGCAAAAAGCGCGGAATGCCTCTGGCCTTTGGACTTCGGCCGTTATGAAAACCTACACATAAATGCCCCATAAATGAGTGTAAATTGGCCTTCTTTGGCGTGTCGATGTCATAGGTCTATGTAAATTCGCGGATGAAAAATTGGCCTCTGACCTTGCGGACTGGCGTGTGCAAATGAAACGGCCAGAAAACAGCAAATTCTGACTGATAATTAAAGGAACATATCGCTGCCTCAGGGGAAGAAGAAAAGCGAGAGAGAGAGTGCAATTAATTAGCGTCTGAAAAACTCGGACCGACTAGGCTAGACTTTCTTTTTTATAAAGTCTTGTTATAAAAGTATAGGCCAAGTTTTAATTAGCCCGGAAAGTGGGATTAATAGTAATTGTACGGGTCCGGTACGTATTGGTTGCAAAACGAGCTGTCACAAAACCCCAATCAGCATGACGGAAAAGTGCGAATGTGCTAATTTGAAGGGCTAAGCGGATCGAATTAAGCCGCAACTTCTCTTGTTTCGTTTTCGGATTAATAAGCGGTCAGAGATCAGGGCAGATGGCCGATGACACAAGAGCGCTTATGTCACTCGGGGTGGTAAAAAAAGAGGCGCTAAAGCGCATGAGAATGGAACGGAAGAAAAGCCAAATGTTTTGGTGAACTCGCAGAATTCACTCGTATCTTATGGGTTTGTTTACGGTAACCGGGCGATTTTTGATTCAGAAATTTTGAAAAAACTTGTATTAAAAGTAAGAGAACTCTACTGACCTGTGCATGTCCTGTCTGGCCTTGCGCAACAAACGTAGAATGAGAAGGTTGCGACGCAACTTGCCCGTGCCCCGCGATTGCATCATCTTCTCGCAGGACAGCTTCACAAAACGCTGACAGATCTCGATTTCTGTCTCTTGAGTCACCAGCATTCGGTTCGCTTTCATCGTTGTGTTCGTGTGGTTGTTGTGTGTGAATTCGCTGCTACCCGTTTATTTAACTCCAAACCTTGCAGACGCCAGTGTCAAAACGTTCCTTATGCCGCCGTTCCGGGCTGCCTAAGCGTTCATTGTGCGTGGGGTTGTGGGGAACCAGTCAATTCTGAGATATGAGGGACCCGATGGCGCGAATGCACGGCGAGATACGCACGATGGTCAATAATGGTGGAGAAGGGGCTTAATCAAGGAAAAGGCACGATTCAAGTGACGTCGGGGCCACCTTCGAAGGGAGATACACCGGTAGTGGGGAAGGGAATGGATTCTTTGCTCTTTGGGGATACCAGTAATGCGGAGAGTTGAGACGACTTGCGTGTGTCAACCCGGTGATGGAGACCGTCTGCAAATAGTTAATATTAAACAAGCCCTCAAAAAGTATTAAAGCGATGACGCGAAATTAACTACCCTCAATGTTTGTAAAATTATTATACAACGCACTCACAACACACTCTACTCTCTCCCCCCTCCCCTCCAGCCAGTTCCGTGAGCGAAAGAAGTAACAAAAATAAACCCGATTCATCTGATCAATACTCCCCCAAAAAATATGAAGAATACTGCGGAGAAATCAAAAAACATCGTCGAAAAAAATAAATCAGAAGGAAACTCGGTCGAGACTGACTGGCGCGCCTTATCAGTGCACTCTTAAGGCCGAAGGAGAGAGAGGAAAAAGTGCTGTCAATGGGACCGCGGGCCCATAAAAAACCAAAACGAAAAAAGACAAATGGTTGCCCTGAGGCGATGCAACCAGACTACTGCACTTTCCGGTCGAAACTTTTTCAAAGTCCAATCTCAGTTCTGTCTGGTACTATCGTCGGATAAAAGGGCAAGACGTATGAAACGAATGCCAAGGGAAATTGCTCAATCAAAGAAAGAAAAGTCCAGTGCACCTATCGGAAACCATTCCGTCTGCTCTTTGGACATAAAGTTATGGGAAAATTACTTGACAATTGGACATGACGTTCAAGTTAGGACGGAAACAAAGTATACAAAGGAGATGATGAAGTTGAAGGCAGAGAGTTAATCTCGACCCTATACACATACACCGAAGACCGGAGAGCCTCGCTTCAGAGAACACAGCCCTTCGCTTCGATTCCCCCCTCTTCCTTTCCTTTCCCCCATTCTTTCGCCCTACCCTCCCCGACTTTTCGAATGTGGATGAAAAGAAGGAAAAGACGGGGCAGGGAGAAGGGGTGGAAACGGACGGAACAACAGCCATCCCATTCAATCCCTTCTATCGCAGACCACGCCCCCATTGAAAAGGGGGCGGAGAGAGTGTGCGGAAGGGAGAGGGCGCAGTCTTTGGCCTTTTTCGCCCCGCCGCCGCGCCCCGCTCCATCCCAAATCAGCGGGGCAGCCGAGGCGCAAAGGAAACCAAGCGGACAGCAGGAACAACAACGCCGCACGAAGCGGGGGGCCACCGGACGGGGTATGAGTGCATTGCTGCGTAAACGGGGCAATAGAGTGCAGCCCTCCCTGTTCTTTGCTTCCAAAACTCTTGCAGAGGACTGTCTCTCCGCGTTTCGTGTGCTCTCTTGCTCCGCATACATTCGATTTTTTATGTGGAGAGAAGGAGAGTGCGTGTGGAGCCGATAGACGGACACAGAAAGTCGGTGACAGAGAGGGGTTTCCCCAAAATTCTAAACGGTGAGAAAATCGCTGAGAACAGGAGGTCAACCAACTCTCGTGGCGGAAAAAGCAGCGCAGCCTGCGGGATCGGCGAATCTAATCGAATTATAGTGCATTTGGAATGTGTAACTGTCCTAAGACTGTAGTGGAGGGGTGAACCGGAAAAAAACATAACCTTCGTCACAATTGTTATGAGACTTTACGTTTAATGGTCTAGTAGGTTCGGGGGCTATTCGACAGACTCGTTTAAGGGCCACCGTATCATCAGAGGTAATAAAAGCAAGAACGTACCGAATATGGGCTAATAAATGTTATGAAACCTGGCTTTGCGAGGCCCGCTATTGCGTAATTAATGCGTTCTGAGGTCTTGAAGTCATGAAAATAAAAGGGTGCTTTATGGATGCGCCAGGTCCTTCAAGTCCGCTCTAGAGAAGCTGAGGTCGCGCTTATTACTCAGCAAGATTGACGTTACATAATTGACGAATCATCAAATCGGTGTTAAAAGGGGTGTCAAAACACTGCGGGCTATCATTGGAAAGGATTCAAAGTACGTGTTGAAAGGGGCCGGGGACGAGAGCCCTTGGAAAAGAATGGTCAAGGAACAACAACGCTTCCAAATCCGGGTCCAGTCGCTATGGAATTGCGACCGAGGGCTCCACATAATTATTCAAATCGTCGCTCTGAATATTAATGCTCCCCTCGGCCGCTCCGAGTGTTTAATTTGCGGCTTAAAACAGTAAAAGTTTATTGCGGTTAAAGTTATTCTACAGGGTTGGAGAAGGAAAGAGGGGAGAGAACCGACCCTTCTTCCCCTCCTTCTACCCCTCCAACTCCGCTCGCCCCTCCATCTTCGTGTGCTCCCCGTTTTTTTTCTGAAGGGTCCAAAGCCCCCCGTCTTGGCACCACGCCCCCACCCCGCTCACTTTTTCGAATCCTCCGCCCCGCCTCACGCCGTAGTTTCCGCACCGTGCACTCTACATCCCCATCTCCTCTTCTCCACCCCTTTTCGAAAATACTCCGCCACTCCGGAGTGGAGCATCCATTGTGGACCGACTTTGAAGCGGATAAACATACGAAAAGCGATGGGTTACTGTAACACAAGGGAAAACAACCTTCAAAGCGCCGAGAATCCTAATATCCCAATCTATTCTTAGTTTATGAAAACAAAACATGCTTTTATCGATATCGCATATTGCTCAGCCCGTCTCATCAATTTCTCTACACGTGCCAAGCATGGCACTGCTCGATTAGCTGGGCCCAGATGGTGGTCAATCAGACCGAATCAGCCCCAATCAGAAAGATCGGCCAATTAAATCCGCCATGGATCCAGACGCCTCTCTCGGCCAACAGATGTGGTCGAGATAAACAAAAAAATAAACCGATTGGGATCATCGGTTAGCCAAGGGAGACAAGAGTAAGACAAGGGCAGATGCAGATCCAAGCAACGCCCGAGAAAGGCGAGCGTCAGAAATCCCGCAGAAATTCGCTGAATCGCCGCATATTAATTGAGCGTCGGGGTCGATTAGGCTGGCTGGCGTGCCCCACCGCCGTCCGTCCATGCCTTATATATGTGCATATCCGTGTTTTTCTGGTGGTGGTGTCCCCCGGAAACCGGGTTGTTAGCGGCGCGCGCTTCGCCTTCAAATCGCCGCTCCAGCTGGACATTCAACACGCACTTATTCAGGCACACACCTGCATGCACGATGCGTCGTCGAACGAATTAAAGAAAAGCCAAAAAAAGGTGCGTCAAGGCCGGGGACGCTTTCCCAGGCCTGCACAACTGTCCGTCCGTCCATCTGCCGCCATGGGCTTGAAATTCTAGTGCCGTGGCCGCCGTGGAATCGAGTTTCGGCCCGTCGTTTTCCATCGCATTAGTTATTCAACGACGGATGACGCCGGAGCCGGACAGAATCCCTCCCCGCTTTTGGGGGGAGATCAAGGCCAAAGCCATTAGAAACGTTATAAAAGCGACATAAAAGGACCGGGATCAGCCTCGACTACTGTAAAAACAAGCCCATAAACAAGGTCCGCACCCAGGAAAGGTATATCCCTAATACGGTAACAACAATGGGAACGTCAATTAAAGCAGTCAACGTCCACTGCAAAGGGAGTCGCCCCGACAACGGCCTCCAGCGATGACTCAATGAAAGGATTCGACGACGGTTTCGACGAAATGTTCTGGGTTGTTTATGGAGATTGCAACCCACTTCAAACAACACCTAATCGAGACGAAAATTAGTCATAAAGTATTTGGCTCTGCGAAGATTTTGAAACCTAAATTTGAATGCCAATACTGTTTCTTTACCCGCTTTCCACTTTACTGACCACGAAATGGATAGTTAATTAAGATCCAGAATGCCCGTCAAGGCTGAATCCATGATCTCTTCCACTCGGTATTCACAATCCTCGCCCGGTCAAAGGTCGGCGGACGGACGATGCACGGTGCAGCGCTGTTTTTTCCTAATGGGAGCGGAAGACAACGACGGTGGTGGAAAGGGGGGAGGCAGGTAGGTTGGGGAAGGTAGGCAGGTAGTCGTCGTGAGATTCGCGCACCGTCCGGCCGTCTATTTATTTGTCTTGACGCGTGTGCGTTTGTGGTGTGTATTTTTTGCGGTGGCCTCAACACTCTCAAACAAACAATTACTACAGAACCCGAAAACGAGTGTCCTGTTTATATCCCCCCTTCTCAGAGAGAGTAAAAGTTGAATAAGAATTAAAGAAGAAAACGACGCCGAGAAGGAGGGGACGTGATCATCGTGCTAATGAGATGACCGCTGCAAAAAAAGACATTGTAATTGATGATAATGATCATGGACAAGAGGGCGACGATTGCGGCAAATTATCGAAACTGATTCGGGTTGTAGTTCTAGTAACGGGGAAGAGGAACCAACAGACAATTTACAACTAAAACGTACTAACACCTTCCACATTAAATCTAGGAATTGTCCTGCTCCTTCCTCTATGCAGAATATCAGCGTTTACTTTTAAAAAATATTCCCTTTTTATACGCCCGTAATTACTATAACCGCCCCTCTAAATATCTCTTCTATTGAGTGCAAGCTGCCCTCTCCAAATCCGTCGATGGAATGGATTCATGACCTGAGGCAATGACACATTTCCGAGTTCGGTTACTTCGGATCAAGCCCACTCGACCGCACTCTCCGCAATCATTGGAATCTAGTTTTTTCGAGGGCTTCTCCCCGCCGTCCTTCTGAATCGCTGCTCGCTTGAATGCACGCCTTTATATGTGTTGGATGTACCTGAATATATATTTGGATAAGAGAAAATATTTACAAAATCCCCGCGAAGAATAATAATGATTATATAATTGGTTTAGCCGCGATTCCGCTCAATGAATTTGCTCGGAATAGGGGCGTGCTTGTATCCAAAGTACAGTAAACAAGGAGGCTTGTAATGCTATGTGGATTCAGATTAGTACCCTTGACCCAGCCTGATCTCTCATAATAACCTTTAGTCCCGAAACAAAACACTTTACGATCAGGTAAACGACAATCCAAAGAGCAGATGGAATTACGAAAGTTACAGTAAGAACAAATTGAGAATGTTTTGCCCAAAAATGGAGAAGCCGGCTGTCAGTCAACCGGCGCTTGAAAAGCCTTTTTTTTCTTTGTTTGGGACAAAGAATAAAGGCAAGTCGATAGCTGGATTCACCTTTAAGTGGAAAACAACCAAAATGACCTCCCCCAAATTACAACCCGCCCTGTGCTGGATATCCCTCAAAAGTCCGGCCCAAAGATCACACATCCATCTGCCTACCGCCTTTCCTGAGACATTCTTTTAATGCGAAGTAATTGGTTCAACTGGAAACTAATTCAATTCCCCATCTCTTACTCTTTTCTCTTCTCGATGACTGTAAAAAAGTTTTTTTTTTCACAATTCGAAAAAAGCGAAAGAATAAGAGACGAAGAAAACGAAAGAAGAAGAAGAAGATTACGTACGTGTAGAGCGGGGCGATCGCGCGAGAACCGTGGCAGTGGCTCTTGGACTATTGTAATTGCTTCTTACTCTCGAAAAAGTATCTGAAAGAGATTTAAAAGTAATCGAAAGGTTGTAAAACGAATCACGAAACTCTTGCCAACACTGTGAACGGATGTTTACAAGGTAAGTTTTCAAATAAAATCGGATAATAAATACTGAAAACTATCACAGAAACCCCTTAATGGCCCCATAATAAGCGGGGAATTTCATAAAAATTCCAAAATAGCAGCTTTTATGGGTTCTAAAACCCGGCCACTAGCTGGCAAAGTCCCACAAATATGTCCTCAAAAATACCCGACACAAACAACAACCGCCGTTCCCATGTCATGACAAGCGCGGTATTGTAGAGAAATGATGTAGTTGGCGGGGAAGGCGAAAAACAAACTAGTTCAGTTTATGGGATTCGTATAAAGTCCCGATCGAATGCGGTCAGGAAAGCAGAACCATAAATTTTAGTGCTAAATGCAGAGTCGTAAAGCGTCGCCGCCTGGGATCAGTGTCGCGCTCGGATGGCAAGGGGGGAGGGCTAAGGCGGGGGATCACGCAAAAAAGCCGCACCCTGGCTAGACGCCGCTTCAGACGTCTTTTTGTCACAGCTCGTTTACTTTTAGGGGTCGGCGCAATTGGAAGGTGGAGATGCCGCTAAAATGAGATAAAAAATCGTGATGTGCATTATGCAAATACAAGATAAAGTAGTCAAATACGAGATAACATGAGCCGTCAAATGCAAAGAGAGTTGAAATATAATAATACTTTCAGAAGAATATTGTAAGAGTTTTATAAATTTAAATTAAGAGAATTTTGAAGAAGCAAATAAACAGATAACAGAGAGAATCGGAATGGATGGATAATTTAGAAAGATGCAAGAGCTCATCGAACACCTTTTACAAGACTTTTGAAATGCTTTTTCTCACGCCAATTTACTTGTTTACTCAATTCCAAACCCATAAAACCCGAAGCCCATCACATTTCCCAACCCAATCCGATCTAATTTTTAAAGATCAAGATCCGGCCCTAGTTCCAGCGGGTTTGAACACATATTCAGCCGCCAAGAAGCAACTGAGAATCATTTCCAATGGGAAACAGAAAGCTCAAAAGGATACTGTAACTTCTTTATCTCTCGCAAAAGTCGGTAAAAACTCGGGGATCCGCCAATTTGTGGGATCACGAAGACAATGTCGAGGCCTCTTCATGAAGAGCGATGCCGGCCTCGGAAACCTTGAGATGAATGAGGCCCATTTATCAGGCCGGACCACAAGAACGAAAACCTCAAAAAAACTAAGGGGGACGACTCTGGGGTTGATCTCTGAACGGCCTGACTGGTTGATAAGATTTTGTATTTTTTGGAAGGAGAGAAACTCTGAGAAAAGTGCAAGACAAAGGGTCTCGGGTTCACAAGATAGAAAAATGCTTAGATTATTGCTGTAGGTGAGTTAGCAGACGAAACGTGGAAGTTTAAACAACCTGTGAAACTTAAAATTTCTTCGAAAACAAGTTGATTCCAATTTCTTTATCAAAGAGATGGATGAGTAATCATAACCGTAAGGCTACCTAAACCCTTCAGTAATGCCTCAGAGTCTAAAGTTTGTCAAAAATTCGCCTTCGAGACGCCCCGTCCCCCTTTGAAATATAATTTTTTAAGCAAGTTAAAACCAATTTAACGAAGATTTTGGGAGAAAAAGGGGGGAGAAAACAATCGAACGTCGTCGTTTTCCTTTAACCCCTCATCCAAAATTTTCTCCGCTGATTTTTTGCGTTTCTTCGTCGCCATAAAGAAACCAAAGGTTTGGACTTCAGAATACAGGAGGGCAATCAACTGATCCGAAATAGATCCGCTGGCCAAAAAAGTTTCGAACTTTTGCACTCGGATCCCACTTTTTTTGGGCTCAACTGTTTGAACAAGGCGATGGCCGCTTCAAAGATCGCTGCATGGGACTTACGAACAGTACGATCTCCGATTCCCGTGGTATAACCGACTGGTCGGTCAATGGTCAGCGCGGGAAATTAGGTTAGTTTGTAAGCTGGTTTAGGGGTCAAAAACAATGGAAATGGGATCGCGTAACAGTAATCTTGTTGTCTATGAACTAAAAGAGACATTCCGAGGATCCCAAAAGGAACATAATCTAATAGAACAAGCTCTAAACTACTCCTTTCCTCTGTTCAGGGATGCCTGTAGCCCTATATATCTCCCAATCCCCCTGTTCTCGGACCGAAAATCGTTTCCAAAAGACCGAAAGTCCATAACCAACATGTATCCTCATCAAAAGCCCATTACAATCCCATTCTCTATGAAAGCCAGGCAGTTTATCGGCGAATCTTTTGAAGTGCTACTGCCGACATTCCAAAGGTTATAATAACACGCGTATTGCAAAGGTCGTCGTCTGTATGGGGCTGAATAGGATCATCTTAAAAGTGCGTTTCAAATGCTACAAAACAAGAAGGAAGAGGAAGGCTGTCTGATGAGAAATAACTTCCAAAATATCGGTAAATTATGAGAGGTGGACTCAGAAAGTAATGCCATTTGAAAGCACTTCCCTGTTGGTTGTCTGTTTGTTCGCAGAGATCAAAATATTTATCTCCTTTTATGGGCAGACTCAATAAAAGGAAGAAATATGATGATTATTATACCTTCCCCCTAAATATAGTACCGTTGCACATTGTATACGAAATAAATAAATTCATTCTGGAATCCGATTTCAGTGGGAATACAAGCGCGTTGAATGACCTTTTTCCTCGTCGCTACCTCTTTCCCTAATGATCCGAAACAGCGGAATTGAGCGTAAAGATCAACATTATTCCAATCAGCCTTTTTTCTGCGCCCCA